TGATAAAGCCTTCTTCAACTCTTACACTTGAGGAAATGCATTATTTCATTTTAAACAGTCCAAACTATGAAAATGTTATGATTCTTAAACGTTCATTTATAATATAGCGTATTCGTCACTTTATAGCTGTTGCTTACAAAATACATAAAATGATCCAAATCAGTAGCATTTTTAAAAATTTGGTAACAAATTCTCTATATTACAGAGTAATATATACCTTCTAGGACCGAATTCATATAGCATGTAGTATGCAAACATTGATTTCGAGGGTACCCGCCAGTAAGGTTCGAAATGTTTCGCCATTCAAGCAATTGTTTTAAGCCGAAAGATGCGCTTCCTTCGAAGACAATTTCTGCCAACAAAGTACAAAAATGATTATTTTGTTCATGTTTTCTATAAAATATTTTGAATACATAGGGGCATTGAAAATCAATCGGAAATTGGCGTAACGTTTAAAATTATTTTTAGGATAATCAGTATTATAAATCTTAATGAGTAATTTGTTCGAAAAGAAGATATATTGCTTAATTACGGTTGAGAATTCATGATATGGAGTTTGATTCCGTGGTACACTCGGCTTTCCGCTTTCCTCTCCCAGTCATATGCATGTGTTGTCACGTGTCTACGTACTATTCCATTCTTTTCGCCGTTCATAATCTTTAGTGTGTTTTTGGACTCTCCATAAAGGACCAACGTTTCGTGTGGGCAAACCTTCACTCCTGCTGTTTCATGCGAATTCCCCCTACATCTAAACACCTATCTCCCTGCATAACTCATCGCTTTTCACCTCTGCGTCAGGTCGCATCTAAACTAGCCTAGCAACCTAAAAGCCCCCATAATATTAAAATGAAAAAAAAATTCCCTGTTAAGTAATATCTCAAGTACTATTTGTGTGGTGTTTTCATTTTTTAAATGTGTCGCAATAAATCGGCGTTTTTAATCATACCAGGAATTTACATTTACTTCAAGTACCCTGAGTTTGTTTTCATCCCTGAAAGTAAAGATGCTTCTGCGGTTTGCGCCCCATATTTCAGAGCACATTTGATCTCAAAGCAATTAAAGTAGACGCGATCAAACTGGTAATTACGGCTCCGGCTGAAGATGGCTGCCTTTGCGTCAACATCGGGAGGCGATCTCTGCTAGGCACGTCCTTCATGAAACGCTGTTTGCAAATATCTCCTGAAGAGCTGAAAGCTAAGAAAAAATTTGAGAACGAAATTCGCATTAAAATTCGACCTTCGCTGGCACGTTCCCAAGACACAACAGCGTATACCGTTCATTGGACAAGTTTGCGCGAGTTTCCCAGCTACGTCATTTTGGTGTACAACAGGTGTGTTTTGTCATTTTATTTTGTTTGACAATGGACTCCTGATAAGTACCTCTCAGCTGCATATGAATATACGTTCCCTTTGTGTATGAAAAGTATTGCGTATCAAGATAACTTTCGCAATCACAAAAATTCTTTATTTTTAAGTCAGCAATTTAACCTTTCACTTTCACTTATGAAAAGGTTACTTATTTGACTTCAAGAGACTGAAGCCACACCAGTTGCAGTTTGCGTAAAGTAATATATAAAGCATTTATACATCCTCATTTTCTGCTTAAACATGTTCGGTGGGAATATCACGATATGACAAGTGATTCATGTGTCAACTGCTCAGAACCAGGCAATTTAAGATGGTTGATTGATCACAAATACTCAATTTTGGTAAGTGTATATAAGTAAACCAAATGCAATTCAATATGCCTATACGATTTACCTTGTTTTGAGAAGCTTTTTTACTTTGCAGGGTATCGACTGGATGCTATGTGCTTTACAAACAGAAGAGGGAGGATTATATTAAATTCGAGCTTTTAGGTGGCCTCAAGGCACACAAATCGTCATAATTAATATTGAATTTGTTATTAGGGTTTACCACACGAACTCTTCAAAAGCTCTAAGGTCGAGAAAAAAGGCGATTGCGTACTCATAAAAATGGTCGCATTCACGTATATAGCATATTTTCACATGCGATATACTTAAATTTTATCTCTTTTTCATCGGAAACATTAATCGTCCGTTGACTGTGATGTGCTATTGATGGAGTCTGCGAGCAGTTATATGGTGCTACGCAGTCATTTTGGTCTGCAGTTAGATATGAAAGCCTTGGTTTATTTTTGATACAGCACGCACATGAGACAGTTGGTGCACGAGGCATCTCCCCTCCTACTTACAAATCTACGAAGTGGGACAACCTATTTCGTATGCATAAGACCAAACGCCCCGAATTATCAATCTGCCTGCAAAACTTGGACGACAATGATGCCCCCACCAGCCCTCCTCGAAGAAAATGCCGATCAGTTATTCAAACTGTCGCCCAGCGTAGAAGGACTAGGCGAAACCTGGATACAGCTTAGCTGGGCCCCACCCAGTATCCGAGGCCCACATCTATTGCCGCCACCAGAAGGCTACCTTGTCAGTGTTCGCCGTCAGCACTATAAAACTCCAGACCAAGTTTACCAAATTCTTATTCCCTGGGTGAGATGCGGAATGAGGTTTATCTGAAATTTACTGTTGCGTTAACATTAAATGCATGCTCAAGGCCTTAAAATTTTTAAGTGATTTGGCAAAACAGCTAGTTTTGCGTGTCTTTGCGGTTAACCTTATTTACTTATTAGGATTATTTAACTGTTTATTTCTACGACACCTACGGCGTGCCCGATAGGAGGGTGGCGCAGGGAGGCTGAGTTATGCGAGATTAAGATAAGGTTATGCCATGCTGCGTCGCATCAACAGTGTCTTCGCCTTTATCTCCTGTCCCATCTGTGTCTGATATCATAACCAAGTCGAAAATACTGGAGACGGAAATCGGTTAGCGCGGCCGAAGCCGCCCTTAGCAATGCCCCGCAATGATTCAGATCCCACAGATTGGGGGTCCAATTGGCCCAATTATTTGACAAATTGTTTTCATTGGGGAATTTGAACTAAGAGTGGAAATAAATCACTTACCGATTTGCTGACCAACAGCTGAGGGAATTGGACGCAGGGACTGAGAGGGCATTCCACCTGCGCTTGCCACACACTCGACGTGGACCCTAAATACACAACCACCGGAATTTCATAAAAGTGGCAGACAACCCAAATGAGTTTCTGCTTACTTGAGAGGGGCGAGATTGCCAATAGTAGAGAATATTCGAGTTCCAGGAAGCAGTTTAGAAGAAGAAGAAGAAGAAGAAGAAGATGTGATAACTGGAACAAGAGTTTTATTTGCCTGACGTTCCGAATTCTCTCGAGAAGCCTTACTCATAGGTGGTGATAATATGGTCATGTTCATGCACAGATGGGGTGGAGACATGCACAGGCTGCACGGTATTTGTAGTTCCTAGTGGTCATCCGCGTGTGTGTGATAATTGTACACTTCTGTAGAAACCGCTTGGGTCCTAATTGGTGCGGTAGTGACTTGACACTTCGCGTTCGACTTACTAGTTTCCACAATTGCCATGTCAGCGTCAGATGCGGGCCTGATAATTGCGTGACAATTATGCCCGCTGTCGTCAGAGTTGTATGCGTCCTGTCCTTCCCACGTGACTGATTTTCTTGCTCAGGAAACTTCTCAGCACACCGTATGGGAACGCCAAATCGTTGTGCTTTTTAATGGACTGCGGGCCTGAGAACCATGACTCCAGCATCTCGCGGCTCGCGCGGTCGTCACCTCTTGCGAGGATTTCGGCCTCGTCAAACTTGAAAATATGGCCGGGTCCCGTTGATTGAGCTGCAACCTGGGAGTTGGCGTCTTTCTTCCTCACTACCGCTGTTTGCTTCTGGGAGTTGGCGTCTTTCTTTCTCACCGCCGCTGCGTGCTCGGCCATTCGTGTCCGGAGTGGCTATTCTTTTCCACTGCCGCTTTAAACTATAAATACCGTGCAGCCTTTGCATGTCTTCACCCCATCTGCGTATGACTATGACCATGTTATCATCGCTTATGATTTAGAATTCCCGAGGGAATACGAAACTTCAGGCAAATAAAACTCTTGTTACACTGGTCACATCTTCTTCTTCTGAGGGGCGAGATTTTTCCTGCGGTGTGTGATGTCGGCCGTGTTCCGATGTGATGAAGGTGTTATTCCGGAAATATTTAGTGATATGGTTGGGTAGACGGTGTTCTACCGTAGGTTTGTTTTATTGGAGGCGCATTTGGTCGAACAGGTTCAAGCGATAACCCAAGGTGTGTGAGTAATAGGAGCAATTGAGACGAGTTTGATTGGTATATGGTGGTCCTCTGGCACTGGGTCTCCAGTGCCTAGTTAAATTGTGGATTATTCTTTTGAGATACACAAGCTTGTATACTATTTTTTTCTATTCACAATATAAAAGTACACATAAAAACAATTGGTATCCATATTCTTCAACCAAGAGTCAATCTAACCTGGGATTCTTAAATTATAGGGAAGCAAACAGCAACTGGACGAACTAGGCAACCAGGTCACTGGAGTATTATCCAGCCTGCATTATAAATACAGACCAACTCCTGCAAATTTGGATGTGCCTTGGCCTGATTATAAAAGTTCTAGGATAAATTTCTGGATCGATGGATGGAACAACGGAAGTGTAGATGATAGGGGCCCTCAAAATCTGTTCGTTTTTACGGCATCTGGATTGCGCGATGGGCAAGCCTACATCTTCACCATTGTTCCGCTATTTCTCCCTGCTCTGCCTTCCAAAATCGACGTGATGCAACTTTCCAGCAGTTTAGGAGTAACCACGGGTGAGTTCTACTACAGATAAATGCTATGCAGCAAGCATGGCCCTCTCAGTTAAGTAAAAAAGATCTAAAATGGATTATTTTCATTCTGTCGTAGGCAAATCCTTGCAAAAAAAAATGTCAATTCTGAACTTTCTCACTTTTAGGCGGCTCATCTTACGACATCTCTCTAAAGGGCCTTAGAGACTCGATTAATGTTGCTGACACTTTTTATCTCCAGATGGTTGGCTTGAGCGACGATGAGTGCTTTACATCTGATGAATGTAAACAGGTTAGAAATTTCTGTTCAATTTTGTTAAGGTCCAAGGGTTTTCATACATGATAATCCAATACCAAAGTATATTTGTATTTATGTCAGTCCTACCTTAATAGGCAACGTTTAGATTTTACGAGAAAGACATGGTCTATGCACAGTGTGAGACTTCATAGCGTAATGCTTAATTCTCTTCCAGAGATGCATAATTTTGGAGCCAGTTACTTCGACCATTTAGTCTTCGTTCTGGAATTCATGTCGTCAGCTGCTTGAAGCCTATACTTTTAGATCAGTCTTTCAGATTTACCTGAACACGTTAAATACCGTCATTGCTTTAGGGTGTGCTCCTATGCAATGCACAGACAGATGTTTTAAGTAAAAATCAAACAACTTATTGGGCGTATGTGGAACTGCGTCACAAATAATACCTTTAACATGCTCTAATTAAATGCCGTTTTATTCATCTATTATTCAGCTATTTCCTAATTTAATTTATTTGGATAAGTGTTTTTTTGTTCATTTCGATAAATATCCGTCCTTCTTATATTGCATGCATTTTGCCAACCAAGAATTATGGTACAATCTTCTTGTTATTAAGATATAACCACTGAGGTCTCTTTTCCTATAGCTACAGCAGCGCAACAGCGTTCCGCTAACCACTCCTTCAGCGGTGTCCACAGTGCAGTGCTTTCAAGGATCAACGGCATCTTTAGGACAGTGCCTTTATTACCTCCGACAGCAAATGACATACAGAATAAGCCTACTTCAGGGAAACTCCCCAGTTCTACAGGGCATATTTCACAAAACAAACCAAACGTGTAAGCTAATTTACTATGCTCTGATTTTGGCTTTTGGTGTAACAGGTTTGAGAGGAGTCTTTGAGTGCTATGTTCTGTTGGTGATTGATATTTGTCACCAAATGACTTTTTCATTTGGGAGAAAAAATTAACACGTCAGTAGAAAATCCTCTCCTATTGACGCCAAAATAACTACAGGGATTTTCGTGGGAAAATAGCTTGCGGTTGCGACTTTCTGAGAAAATCGTTGGGGAGTATGCCGTCACGTTAAGAAGGTAAAGCTATCCTGTCTGAAAAAAACTAGGTTTATTAGGCCTTATATTATCGTGTTATTTTATTTACATTTCTGCTGATTCTGTCATTCGTAATATACAAGAAAAGTTTTGATTGCGCAGTCTACAAAACACTTTCACTGTTTAATCCGATTAACCCGAAATTTTAATGAAATGACTAAACGATTGGACGACGCGAAAACAGGGAATATTTGAAGTTTCTACACCATCCCCACTCCCAGCCTAAACAAAGAAAGGCATATTTGTTAAACTCTGTCCATATCGGTTTTGAAGTAAACTGAACATGACAACAAAGAAGGCTTCTCGATACACAGAAAAGCACTATTTGCTGTTTAGCAGTAAAACACCGCGGTTCAACGGTGAACCTTGTGGTGGATGTGGGTTTATTCTGCTGTTCCATCTTTCAGTTCCATAAGTAGTTCTCACTTGCAATGGTATTATCAACCTTCAGTAATAACGTTGCAGTAGCCTTATCCCCCATACCACTGCAAATCAACGGTCTCTTCTCGAACCACATTTATCATCAATATTCCAACCAAACTGCTTAACAAGTTGATATGAATGCGATCGGAAGAAGTTAATATAAATCAAGTCTGCGCATTATATTCTGGTTTCTCTGGAGTATGCAAAACTCACAAATCTAAAGTTGCTCAGAAGTAGGCACAATTGTTGGCACAATAATGTTTTGCGGATTCTCACTCGAGGGAATATCAGATATGGATGCTGCCTTTGTTGACGAGGTCGAGGGAGGGAATAAAGTTTTTATTCTCCTGCTCGCGTCCACCGTTTTTCAGTCGCTTTTGGAACCAGGTGTTTGCCTGTATCGAAACAGCCGGAGCTTTTAACTGCCAATCCTTGTTTTTTGACGTGGCTCGGCGTCTGGCAGGCTCTGTAGTTTGTTTTTACTAGCAGGACTCATATAGAGGCCACAAAAATGCCGTTGACTTTTTATAAAAAAGTACTTTTGAAAGTTCAGTAGCCCGACTTTGAGTTTTTTTGTTAAACTTCACCAATGGGAGGACGAATTTCCATAATCGCTAAATTCCGCCTACATAAAGTCGGATTTCTCTTCATTGGCATTCTTAACATGCGCATTTTATTATATTTTAGCACATTAAAACAAGCATAGTCTTATTTTATTTAATTTTTTCATCCCTTCCGCCACAATTACATCTGACTCTAAGCTCACTTGCCAAGCGTTAAATGATTGACCACAAAATACGTTAAGTAGTTTGGCGGGGGCAATAGATATCTAGAGAGGCCCTACAAATCAGTTTTGCCTTTTTCCTTAATGCGAATACCAGACATAAGTGTTTTTCTGCCTCATCCACTTGACTTTGATTTCTTTTGGAAGAATAAACTGTCGCAATTGTCGTAGTTGGCTGCTTGCATTCAGAAATAGATAGTTTAAGAACATGTAATGGGGCGTGGGATGACTTTTACGGGCAGAGGCTCATGCAAATGCCACTGCCAACACACTTTTGTTAGATAGATCAGCCTATAATCATTTGACGTGCTCATCACTTATTCCCCGGTACACTACCCAGTTGCACAAATGCCTGTCTTTGTTTGAAATGTTATTTTGCCTAGGATTAATATTCTGTCATACGTCAGTAGTCTTCACACGTCTAACACACCATAGGACGGAAACAGTAATGGTCGTTGCCCCTAAAGGCGCAGAGGATTTGCGAGCGGTCACTTAGTTACGGACTATCAGTAGCAAGTTAGTTCGCAGAATATAGACAAGGGAAGCTAGGACGGCTATTTTTTAATTGTCTGGAGCCATCCAGTAACCACAGTCCCAGTCGGGGATGACATGAGCAGCACTTTTAATTTCGAACGTCTATTAACCAAAAACATACATTTACATTTTACTTTTGTAAATAGAAGAAATAATGACAGAAAAACAGTGCTAATTCTAGTATGCCTGATAGTGAG